CCAAGACTAGCGACAAGCTTCCCGCACACAATTGGGTCGGCTTGTTTGAACTCTGAAGGGGCATGCCATAATTGGCCGCACAACGACGTGGAGCCTCTATGCTATAATAGTTTAAGCACATCCACCAACAAAGCTCCAAAGCTCTCGTAAGATACCCCAGTATTATTCCCGGGGCATGACATCCCCCCCCACCGAAAATAGTGTACTCCATGGTTACATCGACTCAGCTTACGGTGCCACAACACTACACCTATGTGCAGTTGCAATCTGCACCCCTCGCACATTGACACAACAGGAGTCCGGGAGGAACTTCCCACGATCGCCAAGTCATCGTCCACACGAACACATCCCACACGCTCGACCCAGCAGATAACTTGGTAATTTGTCTCAAGATAATGATTCACTTAAAATTGTTTACTATAATAAATGTTAGAGAATATTATATTACAGAACACTCCTAATATTAGGATTCTAGTATGATTCGGTTACCTAGATTAGTTATGATTTAGTTACCTAGTCAAACTCTGTTACCTTGCAATATTTCTCTATATATATTCCATGTAATCAACCCATAACATAATGGGGGTTTCTAATACGTATTATTATTTCTCTTTCTCTCCTTTTTCTATTCTTCCTATAATAAAGTACTAACACAATTTGGGATGAAGGTTCAAATTTTAGATCCGTTATACATGTACACTATATACTTATAGTGGGAATCAAAAGATAAAATATCATTTAACATAGAATATGTCATGCTACACTCTCACTATCGATTTTCGGTTCGAGAAAAAATCAGAGTTCGAAAAGGTTATTTTGGTGAATAATTCGAAAATTCCTAGCGAAGGCATGAAAATAGTAAATTACGAAACTTACTATATTAAAGTAGGAATTAAGTACGATTCATTAAGAAAATGAGTTCAAAAGTACGAAAAGAGAAATGTTACGGTTTAAGGTTACACCACCAAAAGAAAATAACCAAAAGTTCTAGCATCGTTCATAGGTCCTCGTACGTCTTCCAAAATTCCGGGCAAGACCTCGATCCACTACTCGATCCATCCCGGTTGAGGATTTCTAGCACTACTACCTGCAATTAAAAGACATCTATATGAGCTATAAAGCTCAGTAAGAAATCCGAGTAATATCGAACTTTGGAAATACGTTATATATAATATATAATATTGTATACCCGTTCTTACCCATGTTTCGTACAACAACACAAGGCAATCGGTCAAATCACATATCTCACGAAAACACATCATTTAACAAATCACGTACTTATGCAAAATGACTTAAATGCCCTTTTTGTGAAAATCATGAAAAACACATTTTTCGGTTTATCGGATCCGTGAAAGATTAATTTCTGTACCGGATAATAAACCTGTTACGAGCCCGTTTTCACTAAGTGGGGGGGATCAAACCACTACACACATCATCCTAGTTGGATACCGGCCCACTATATCCGAGGTGTTTATTACCCGATATTCCATTAATCTTTCAAAAAATCATTTTAATGCAACTTTTCGAAATCATGCTATAACCCACACATGACATCACAAATATCAATCAAGTGCCACAAAATCACACAAATCTTACAATTCACCACATATTTGTAAATTGGGCAAAAATCCCAAATTCACACATATAAACACACAACCACACACGGCACACACCATGCACAATCAGCACACACACATTCACACATTTTCAGCACACACACATGCAGCCAACACATTAAATTTCACCATTTAACATCAACCATGTTTGAAAAGCAAGTACCCCTTTTTCACATCTCATTTAATGGACTTATTAAAACTTCTAGGTAATAATCCATTTCGATAATCTTTCACAGCCATTAAACCACATCCAGCAGCATTTACAAATACCAAAAATATCAAAACTCACCACTCATAACCATTAAATCAAAACATGAACATTTAAGGCACAAAACATATGTAAATGACATGCAATTATCCTAATTTTGAAATGATAGCAAGTAAATTCCAAAAATTCTCAAATTAAATCCTAGAACTCCTAACTGATCCAAATTTCAGATTCTGAAATTATTTTAAAGTTTTACAAAGTTTCGAATTTTCTTGAAATTAAAAACTAGAAAATCCCTTTTTCAATTTAAAAATCCAAAACTCTTATATAACTCTAATTGATTTAAAAAAACTTGTTAAATAAAACTTTTTCCTATCTAATACTTGCTGAAAACAGACCCAAACTTTAAAAATGAGAGATTTTTCGGAAATTGCAGTTTTGACCCAAAAGTTTCGAAATTTATACATGCAACCATACTAGAAGTTCAATTTCTACTTTTTTCATGAAAACCTCTAACAAATCTGAAATTCCACTTTACTAGATGCAGAAAATGAAGTTGAAAAGTTGCTTTATGCAGAAATTTCGAAAATTACACAATTTACCCCAAAATCTCTAGATCTACACATGCAAGCCTACTAGAATTTCAAAATCAACTTTTTCTTACAAAAATTCTTTAAATCCCAAATTTTTGTTCAATAAATGCTGGAAAACAGTTTTGAAAACACTTTTCGGACTGACTTTACAAAAATTACAGATTTGGCCCAAACTTTCGAAGATCTACACATGCAACACATAAAAGTCCAAAAATTCTTTTTTCTTGAAAATCCCTTTTTGAATCTGAATTTTTTAAGGCTTTTGGCCAATAAAAGTTGTATCTAACCACTATCAACATAGATGATGCATGCAAGAACAAGAAATCAACAAGAAACACTTATTTTCCATTTTTCTTCAAAAAACCCTAAATTTTCGAAATCATTCCCAATCTTTTAAAATTTTATGAAAATCATTTTCATACTATTGATGCCCTTTAATTGCAGCAAGAAATCGAAATTTCTTACCTTAAATTCGAAGAAAGAAATAACCGAAAGGGAGAGAGGCTTTCAAGCACCGAAGTCCAACCAAGCTACCTTGATTGTGAAAGAAATGGTGTGAGCTTCAAGGAGGGAGGAGTTGTGATCTCCCGAAAGAAGGCAAGTGGTCTTGATGGTGTTCTTGGACTAGTCCAAGGCAAGAGTTAAATAAGGAACTCTCATTTTAATTTTGGGAATTTCTTTGGAAAGGTGCAGTGAGGTAGAGAGAGGAGGGCCGATGATGGTGGTGATTGTTTCGGTGGAGAAGGGAGAGAAAGCCAAGTAATATGACTATGTGTTGGAAGAAGAAATATGAAGGGTGCCTCTTCATCTTACAATGAGAGTGTTGAGTGTGGGTTTAGGTAAAATGATTAGTATTTGCCAAGTGTAATGCATGCCTAATTAGTCATAATTTATTTATTTAAATTAAACTTCAACTTGCATCATAACACACACACACATCATCCGAACACACACACACACATTTCGGACATATATATATATTCAAATGTATAATGCAAGTATTAGTATATATGTATGTATACGTATGCATGCATGCATGTATGTACGTGTATGTATGTACGTATATATATATACAAGAGGTATAATTGGTTTCCGTGGCAGTCTTGCTTCGATTCTTGCACCTACCTTACGCTTCAAGAGGTAAACTTTTGAATCTGATATTCTATTAGGTTTGTAATTTAATTAGATTAAATTATATATATGTTCGTCTTCGTAGTATGCTTTCGTGAATTTATATGTATTTAATGTTTATATGAAATTCATGACTTACTGCGAGCATGCTAATTGATTTACTGTCGATTAAATTAATTCGTATGATTGTTGTTATTTTAATTTTTGCTGAAGCGCAAAGGTACGCAATTAATTGTTTAAATAATTGTCGGGCATGTGATTATGTGAATTAAATCCGTTTATTTCACATTAAAATTTTCGTTTTCTGCTGCGTACATGTGCCTGATTCCCAACAACCACCGCGTCGGCGATCTGGTGGGATGAGTGGCATCCCGAGGAGGTCTAGGGGTACACAGTAGACCGTCGATCCGCTACTTTGACATTTTATCTGTTATTTGGACTCCCTATTATTTACTTTTACTATTTTCTATTATTTTTCGGGTTCCGGTTCGCTACTTTTAGACTATTATTTTCTGAAATTCTAATGTTTTGGTACACTTTTATTTTTTGTTTGACTATTATTTATGTTTTGGTTTGATTTTTAATTATGTTATTTATTTAAGTTGCGAGAAATAAAATATAATACTACAAGGTTCAAACACATACCAAATAAAATAAAAATAAAAAAATAAAATACTACAAGGTTCAAATACATACCAACTAAAATAAAATAAAATAAAATACTAAAAGGTTCAAATACATACCAATTAAAATAAAATACTACAAGGTTCAAATACATACCAACTAAAAAAAAAAATTAAAGTTAAAAAGCCTATCCCAACCTAGATTGACGACGCCACATATATAGGCGTTCTTGAATATTTCCGAAAAGTGGGCAAGATTTGCGGATCTAATAGGTCGTCATTGTGGAGTGATGGGTGGTAGAGGACAATTAACCGGTAACTGGATAAGGACAAAATGGTTTCCTAACAACACCATATGGATCATATGAGACAATTCACCCGGACCTACTAGAGGTAAGTAAGTCGTACTTCTGCCGACGGAGTATAAGACCAAAGCCACATTGTATTTCATCGCTATCGACATTCCCATATCGGGAAATGACATCCATTTGTCCGGACCACACGGTCCTTCTTGCCAATTACATCTTGCAATCCATCGGATGACTTCATCTTGACCATTTTGCGATGCGTACGTACCAAATCGCTTGTACATATCAGCAATTAAATCTCTCATCACACGACTCTATCTGTGATGATCTCGGAACACTACTTCTGCAACACATCTGTACACACAATTTCCATCTGCGACAACATTAACGTACAACACAATATGTCATGCCACAAAACCTGGGATGTAAGATATGAAATTGAGCTCCTCGCCCGGTTTCTTTCGAGGCATCGGCATACGATTCTGATTGGCAATAGATTCATCACTTGATCTACCACTCCCTCAACCCCGTCCACGACCGGGAGCGGGATCGGTTACTTTCGATGGTGGGATTCCGGTAGAAGTACTTTTTCGACCATTAGATATTGCAGACGATTTACCCTTTTCTTCATCAGTAGACGACTTCGGCGGGAATCGTGGGTACTCCCAACCGGATTTATCTCTCTTCGTCGGTTTATCCTTTGGCCGTCCCTTCGGTTTAACATATGCAGGCTCAGTCAAGTGAATGGTGTCTGGATTAATAGCGCTATTCATGTAATCAACAGTCATTTTTTGAGTCATGTAATCTTTTTGTAACACTTCGGTGGCTAGTCTTATTATCCGGTCTCTCATATCTGCTTCGCGGTCTACCTGTGCTTCGGGTATTTCTTGTTCTTCAACGTGCATGATACTCCAAAATGAATATAGATCCATAGTTATAAACGTATCATGTTGTTGGATTTTCAACGAAATTTGGCACGCACATGAAAGTCCATGAGTAACCCACAGAACGTGATCACAAGTAGATGGGTCTTCTACCCCCGGTTTACCGAACTCATCATCAAGCAAATTTAATGCATCATGTGTGACTTTGCATATCAAACCCTGAAATGCCAGATACGATGCTTATGCATTCTGATTAAGCTGCATTTTGAAAACCCACCCTTGATCTTGGTAACTTGATACTCGACCCTGGAGTCAAGCTGATATTGAATGGTGTTCACAGCGCCGATAGAAGCATTAATCCAACCCTTCGACGAATTGTGAGCACTTTCCACCCTGTTAATAGTCATTAAAATAACAACTAATAACTAAAAACACAAACAATATAATATAAAATACATGCCGAAAATGAAACCGAAAATACCTATTAGTCGACGTGTTCCCAAAATGCAAAATCTTATTAGTCCATGCTTTGACGAATTTTTGCTTGTATATTAGCCAAGTATCGTTAAGGTATGATATCGGTTTGGGGTAACAACCATAGTGTCTAACCATTTCATCGTAATTTTCATAGTAATATTCTTCTGTTTTTTATTCCTCTAATGCTGCCCAGTGTCCGCACCGGAATATAACCCCGTGTTTACTACTACCAATAAATTTTGATGCATTTTTTTCCACGTTTCTATCGATGTGAAACAAACACAAGTAATGTGCAGAATTTGGAAAAATTTGGGGCATTGCTTCAATGAGTCCCAACTCACGATCCGTCAATATCACACCAGGTATCCCCCAATGCACATTTCAAACAACTCAAAGCCCATGTATGTGTCTGCATCTTCATGTGACATGAAAGGAACAACAATTGTAAAGTTGTAACCAATAGGGGTGATCCCAACTATTTTCAGAAGTGGCATCTCATACCTACATAAAAACATAAATATCAAATGCAATCAATGTACAATAACCCAATACTAAATACTAATTAACAACATACCTATTGGTTTTGTAAGTGCAGTCCATCAATATAACATGAGAGAATAAACGCAAAAGTTTAAGTGAAATAGGAGCGGCAAACATCAAATCAGTAAGTGTATCACCAGCTTCATTAGATCGATACAAATATTCATATCCATTTTCTTGAAGGTTCGACATCACGTGTTGTATTACAGTCTTCCCTGCCATATTCTCTTTCTTCATCTTCTCAAGTTGGTTGTAGACATGTTTCACGCTCGTCGATGTCTGTGGGTTATCCTTCCTCAATCGATCCATAAATAATGCCGGCTTCACGTGGCTCCTTCTAAGTAACTTCACTACACTACAATAAATTGTCAAATTGGCAACAATATGTTTCGTTGCCAGAAGACTTTAATTTCGTTACCACCTTCGTTGCCGTTTCCTTGTCACGAAAAGTTCGGGGCAACGAAATGTACAAATCGTTGTGAATACATGCATTATAGACAACATTGTTATATTGTTGCTACATATTGATCGTTGCCAATGCATTAGATAATAACAACGAGTCTATTTTGGTGCCATAAATATATCGTTGCCAATTCATTGATTACTACCAACGAATGTATTTTGTTGCCACAAATCTATCGTTGCCAATACATTTATTAGTAACAACGAATTTATGTCGTTGCAACATATTAATCGTTGCCAATACATTAATCATTAAGAACAATTGTACGTCGTTGCCACATATTTATCGTTGCCTACATGACTTATTAACAACGAATTTATGTCATTGCCATTATTTTGTAGCAAATACATCCAAAATCAACAACAATTTTATTTTTGTTGTCAAAGATGTATACAATAGACAATAATTATTTATGTTTCAAAAACTATCTTTATTTCGTAGACAAAATATACTTTTTTAGGCAACAAAATTATTTTGTGCCAATAATAAATTGTTTACAACAAACATTGTTCGTGCCAGAAGATACTTTTTCACAACAAAATATTTTGTCATTATAAAGAAAATTAGGCAACGAAAGTTTTTATCGGCTAACAAATAATAACAATTTCGCAAATATTAATTGAAATAATTTGTTTATGATTTAAATAATAATAAATATTATTTTTATTATTTTATTTGTCTACATAAATAATTGAGTCATTTTTTATAAATAGAGAAATAAATTTATATTAACACGATTTCAATAAAGAACAAATTAATCATCTAAAACTAATTAAATTGGATTTAAAAAGTAATAAAGTTAGATCAAAAAATCCAAATATTAATCCAAAACAATTAAAACCAAATGTCATTCTAAACCAATCAAATAGGAACATTGTATCTAAATGAAAACTAAAACATAAGTGTCTTGATTTAGAACAAAATGAGAGACGACCGATTGGGACCGACGAAGCATATTTATCATTGCTTTTGCTCACTTCAAACAAATTACTTCCGAAAATCTGCAAAACAATCACAATACAATTAAATTGTTAATTACAAATTATATAAGACAAAAAGTAAAATATTGAAATATTACCATGAAGAGTCACTCATATGTTGAGACCCAAATATTTTTTGAAAGAGAAGATCATGCTTTGCAATAGTTGATTTCATAGTAAGAAGTTCTTCTTTAAGTTCCGAATTTTCTGTTTCTTTCTCCCTCAAAGATTCCTGAAGTTTTTTTTATAGCTGCGTCTGACGCATTTTCTTTGGTTTTTCGACCGTACCCAAGTCCAACAACCTCTTCCCAAGAACATCTTCAGCAATTTTAACAACATCAACTTTCAAACCGGATAATTCAGCATCAATTCTACGACGTTCCATTTCCATCTAAAATTGACATAAAAGATAAAGTTTTCAAATAAATTGTGAATATGAACAAGTTAAAATAAATAATACCAAATTTTACTTACATGATTTTTTTTGCATTGTTCTTTAACCCATCTCTTGCCTTCTTTATAATTTGTTTGTAAAAATTTTTCATATCAACTTCATCAGCACCACCACCATCACCATCATCATCATCACCACCATCAGCATCATTATCATCATCAAATTTTGATTTTTGACTCTGTAAAAAATTGGTGAAGTTAGATGAAAATATTCTCAACATAAACTTATACATTATGAACAAATAAGTAATTAACTTACAAGCATATGGCGAGCTACTACGAATGACCCAGAGCCTTGATTATGATTTGTTTTCATCTCTAATCGATTATTCTTATTTATTTTGCATCTTTCGTGCAAAATATTATTTTAAAATATAAAATGCATATAAATATTAGAAGTTTTTTTACATCAAGAAAAATAATATCTTTTATTTAGGATCACTGAAAAGAGTGGTGCATAAATTTTCCAAGTTTCGTTGAGTTAACCCTCCATAAAATGGCTTATTTTGTACTACCAAAGCAAACTTCTTAAAATGTTTATTCAACCTATGTCGTTGGTGCCTGCTTCGGTGCTTCACGAGATCCATGACATTCTCTATAGTCTCTACGTTCGGATTGTCAATGCTTATATTCATCTACAATATTAAAAAAATCATTACAATATAGGTTAAGTAATAAGATTATCAAAACAAACAAATAAGCATGTCATAGTTTATAGAAAAATATACTAACGTCAAGTAGGTCAAAAGCCATAACCAACTCAGATTTTGAATTCTTAAGGTCCTTCCACTTCACGGGTACTGGCAATGACTCTCGAGCGAGTATCCCAAGCTCACTAGATAATTTTGATGACTCCAGACTATCAAGAGGTCTTCCATGTGTGGGAGCGATGTGAACAACGAGTTTTTGTTTGTTTCACTGATTTAGTTTTCGAAGAGCTATCCCTCGAGTCTCACCTCGGACATTTTATTTGTGATAGAATCTACATCGATCCCAATATTATAAAATTTACGTGATAAATAAAAATGGATACACAAACGTAACAATAATTTATATGACATTTTACCTCTGCTAGAATTAGGTGTTTGTGAAGTTGTATCTTCTTGTTCCAATGGAGACAGTGAATCTTGAGAAAGTGATTCATCAAACAATAAGGTAGATCGATGTGTAGCTCTACCAGATGATGCATTAGTATATATATTAATTTACACTAACCATGCTTAAAAATTGAAACAAATAGATCAACTTCCCATGGACAACATATTTCATCATTGACCTTTTTAAATCAATTCTGTTGTGATATACAATAGAAGAGCAAAAATTAGAAAACCAACCCAATCCTTTCACTCTTAAAAACATATGAGGAAAATACAGAGACATGATATTAGGAACATATATAATTGCATCATTATTTATATACACATACATGCACAAATTAAATTATATTATGATATTCCGTTGAGTTTCTATTAAAAATCGGAAAATTTAAATCCTAGCCTTTACCTATATACCAAAAGACAGAGTATGTTAACTCAAAAAAAAAAAAAGTAGAAAAAAAATAAAGCATATGGTACACTCACCTTGAGAAACCGTCTTTGCACGACACCACTGCCGTCGCTGCACTGTTTCAAACCCGGCAACGAATCTACTGTTTTCGATAACCTATGGATATGAAAAGAATTGTGATGGTTATTCTTTTTTTTGTTTCCTTTTTTTTTTTTTTTTTTGTGATTTTAGGCGAGTGATTGAGTGAGGGTTATTCTACCTAGATCTGAAAATAAATCAATTTTGGAGTGGTATAAAAAGTTGAATGTGATAATTCTTAAAAATCCCCATAATCATGGCATAATTTGTGAACGTGTGTCTTTGGTGGGAGTTTTTGTCTGCGTGAAATGTTTTAGCCGCAAACATAACCCTTTAGAGTACCTAAAAATCTCTTAAATATATGAAATCTTAACATAAGGATTATGAGATGACCAACAAACAAAATCTAGTAGCAATGTAACAGTCGGTACCTAAAGTTTTATCATCTTTCAAAAACAAGATTAAAGTTAAATGAAACACAATCCCATTCAGGAAAAAACCATTCAAGCTCAGAAATACAATAAAATAAAACACCTAGGTGTTGGTGGCTCTGGTGTAAATTTGCTGGCTCGGGTGGGCTGCCACCATTATGATCAAATATCTTGCGGTAAGTTTTTTGATTGCTTTCATAACTAGAGATTCAGTGATCTGCAATGTTTAAACAATTGGATTAATTAATATCAACAACAATGAAAATTGCATAAGCATTGAAATAACCCTTTAAAATAAAACTTAGGGCAAATTACCAAAACCCCCTGAGGTAAGTCTGAATAACGGAAATTCCCCCCATGTTCTCGTAATTACGTCAACCCCCTGAGGTATGCAGACATCTTAAAGCTGCAGTCCTATACATTTTATGCCCATCCAGTGATTTTACCAATTCCAAAAGTTAAGTAAATGATCATATTTCAACAAATTAGTTCATATTATAAACTATCAATATTTTTTTTTTAACCTGAATCGAATTTGAAAAGTTAGTTATTCTCAACGATCTACTATAAAAAAATCACTTTTCTCAAAGAACAAGAAAAACTCAAACAACGGAAATAATTGACAAAGCTAGAAGTAGGGGTGAACACTGGCGGGTTTGGGAGGTTTTCTGAAAAACACCAACTCGACCCGATGTGGGCGGGTTCATAAAATTGCAAACTGCACCTGCTCACTTACAATTACAAACTGCCCTATTCCGGTTTTTTTTTTTAAGATGGCGGGTTGGCGGGTAGGCGGGCGGGTTGGCGGGTTAAACAAATATATAATTAATGCAAAAAATACTTCATATTATAAATAGAATATATGGATAAATGAGACAAAATCAAATAACCAAATTCTAAAGCTCAAAAACAAGTATTGTCTGTTAATCAAAATAAACTTAAAAAAAATTAAAAATAGAGTCCAGACAACCAAAAGCAATCTAAAACACACAAAAAAACTTCTTCATTCATCAAACATTCTACAATATTAGAATCCAGTTCAATTGACCTTGATTACCTGCAAATATTTTTTTTATTCCATGTCAAATAACGAATAAAAGTTTATAGGAAATACAAATTTCCAACACAATTGGCATAAATAATTTTAAAAGTTTATTTCATGTCATATAAAATCATAACTAACAATTTGTTAAAATTGCATAAATAACTTTAAGCAATTAAAGAAACTACATAAAAAAACGAGTATTTTACCAGCATTGTCGACAATCAACGGCTAGTCATTTTGCACTTGAAATACCGCAACTGTCAAATTCTAAAATTCACACAAATATATGATAATCAATAACAATACATTGAAATGATTATGAAAGAAATAAAATAACATTTATCTTTTATAAT